GGGCCGCGTCCCACATACAGCAACTGGAAGGATGCGCAGCTATGACATACAACTATCTACTGGGGCTTTGGGGGGAAAAAATAAATAAATAAAAAAAATAAAAAAAAAAAGTATGCCTATAATAACATAAGAATGTGTATGATAAAAATTTTTTTTTTTTTTGTGAGGAAGATCAGCCCTGAGCTAACATCCATGCTAATCCTCCTCTTTTTGCTGAGGAATACTGGCTCTAACATCTATTGCCAATCCTCCTCTTCCCGCCCCCCCCAAAGCCCCACTAGATAGTTGTATGTCATAGTTGCACATCCTTCTAGTTGCTGTGGGATGCGGCCTCAGCATGGCCGGAGAAGCGGTGCGTCGGTGCACGCCCAGGATCCAAACCTGGGCCGCCAGTAGCGGAGCACGCACACTTAACCGCTAAGCCACGGGGCCGGCCCATGTGTATGATAAAATTTTAAGGTAATAAAAACAAAGTATATAAAATTATCTTAACTATGTTTTTTTTTTTTTTTTTGAGACTTATCTATAGAAACAAAAATATTAGAAAGGAGCACACTAGCATGTTTACCATGGTCATGTTTGGGTAGCATGTTAGTAGTAGTCTTTGGTTCCAAATGACAGAAACCCACCTAGTCTAACTTAAGCATTAAAAAAAAAGCAAGAGAGGGCCAGCCCCGTGGCTTAGCGGTTAAGTGCGTGCTCTCCGCTGCTGGTGGCCCGGGTTCGGATCCCGGGCGCGCACCGACGCACCGCTTCTCCGGCCATGCTGAGGCCGCGTCCCACATAGAGCAACTAGAAGGAAGTGAAACTATGACATACAACTATCTACTGGGGCTTTGGGGAAAAAGAAAGAAAGAAATAAAGTTATAAAAAAAAAAAAAAGGAAGAGAGGTAGTAAAATTTTATTGGTTTCATAATTTAAATCTTTGAGGCATGGCTGGATCCAAGGGGCCCAAATAATGTTACCAGGACCCATTCATTCTCTTTCTCTCTCCATCTCTCGCCTCTTCTTCCCTTGATAACCCCAGTGAACATTCCAGCATGCTTCCCGAGATTGACTCATTGGCCCAATATGGGTCACAGGTTTGTCCCTGAACCAGTCTCTGTGGTCAGGAGGATGCATTGTTTAGATTGGCCATATGTGGGTCTTATGCCCATCCCTGAAACCAGGAGTTGGGTCAGTCCCACCCAAACCATGTGGACCTACAGTGGGGGAGAGCTGTTTCCCAAAAGAAGGTCTAGGTATTATTATCAGAACATAAAGAGGGGAAAGGACTCCAGGCAGGCAAAAGCAGGAGCCAATTACTGGTGATAAGACTGAGTATTTTTCTATTTAAAAATTTTAAAAATTTCTTCCTTAAACGTTTCATAGAATTTACCAGCAAACCCATCAGCCTGGAGTTTTCTTTAGGAAAAGGTTTTCCTAAAATCTTGATTGATTGATTATGAATTCAATTTAAAAAATATTGAGTTAGGGCCGGCCCCGTGGCTTAGCGGTTAAGTGCGCACACTCCGCTACTGGTGGCCCAGGTTCGGATCCCAGGCGCCCACCAATGCACCGCTTCTCCAGCCATGCTGAGGCCGTGTCCCACATACAGCAACTAGAAGGATGTGCAACTGTGACATACAACTGTCCGCTGGGGCCTTGGGGGAAAGATAAATAAATAAAATTAAAAATATATGTATTGAGTTATTCAGATATTTTATTTCATCTTGTTTCAGTTTTGGTAAGTTGTAATTTCCAAGGAATTTGTTTATTTCATCTAAGCTATCGAATTTATTGTTCATAATATTCCCTTATTATCCTTTTAGTCTATGTAGAATCTTAGTGATTTCCTGTCTTTATCATTCCTGGTATTGGTTGATAATTCGTATTCTCTCTCTCATCAGTCTACCCACGGCTCTATCAATTGTGTTGGTCTTTTCCAAGAACCAATGTTTGGTTTTGTTAAATTTGTTTGTTTGTTTGTTTTCTATTTCATTTATTTCTGCTCTTATCTTTATTCCTTTCCATCTACTTACTAAGGGTTTATTTTTACCTTCTTAGGTGTAACCTTAGGCCTTTGATTTAAAATCTTCCTTTTCTAATATGAGAATTGAAAATTATAAATTACTTTCTAAGCACATCTGCTTCCCACAAATTTTGACATGTTATATTTTTATTATTATTACAGTTTGAAATATTTTCTAATTTCCCTTGTGATTCCTTCTTTGATCTATGGCTTATATGGAAGTGTGTTATATAATTTCCAAGTATTTGGGCTTTTTACTGATTAGTAATGTAGCTACGCCAGCTTTCTTATGCTTACCAATTGCCTGGTACTTCTCTTTCCATTCTTTTATTTTTTTCTACGTTTTTTTTTCTTTTATCCCCCAGCTTTATTGAGATATAATTGACATATAACAGTATATGAGTTTAAGTCATACAATGCAATGATTTGATATACTTATATATTGTGAAATAATTACCACAATAGAGTTAGTTAACATTTCCATCACCTCACGTAATTACCTTTTTTCCCTGTGGTGAAAACATTTAAGATCTGCTCTCTTAGCAACTTTCAAGTATATAATACAGCGTTGTTAATTATAATCACTGTGCTGAGCATTACATCCCAGAACTTACTCATCTTATAATTGGAAGTTTGTCCCCTTTGACCAACATCTCCCCAATTCTCCGGTCCCCTAGCACCTAGCAACCACCATTCTACTTTCTGCTTCTATGAGTTGGGCTATTTTAGGTTCTACATATAAGTGATATCATACAGTATTTTTCTTTCTCTGTCTGACTTATCTCACTTAGCATAATGCCCTCAGGGTCTATCCACATTGTCACCAAATGGCTGGATTTCCTTCTTTCTCGTGGTGGAACAAAATTCCATTATATATTATATTATATTATGTTATGTTATATATATGTCGCATCTTCCTTATCCATTCATCCATTCACAGACACTTAGATTGTTTCCATATCTTGGCTATTGTGAATAATGCTGCAGTGAACATGAGGGTGTCTCTTCGAGATCCCGAGTGCATTTCCTTTGGATATAGACCTAGAAGTAGGATTGCTGGATTATATGGCAGTTCTATTTTTATTTTTTTGATGAACTTCCATACAGTTTTCCATAGTGGCTGTACCAATTTACAGTCTCATCAAGAGTGCGCAAAGGTTCCCTTTTCTCCACATCCTCACTAACACTTGTTATTTCTTGTCTTCTTGATGATAGCCATTCTAACAGGTGTGAGGGGACATCTCATCGTGGTTTTGATTTACATTTCCCTGATGATTAGAGATGCTGAGCATCTTTTCATGGACCTGTTGGCCATCCATATGTCTTCTTTGGAAAAATGTCTATTCAAGTCCTCTGCCCATTTTTTAATCAGATTGTTTGTTTTTTTGCGATTGAGTTGTATGAGTTCCTTATATGTAACCCCTTATTAGATAGATGGCTGGCAAATATTTTCTTCCATCCTGTAGGTTGCCTTTTCATTTTGTCGTTTCTTTTGCTGTGCAGAAGCTTTTTAGTTTGGTGTACTCCCCTTCATTTATTTTTGCTTTCAGTGTCATATCCAAAAAATTATTGCTGAGACCAATGTTAGGGTGTTTTTTCTCTGTTTTCTTCTAGGAGTTTTATGGTTTCAGGTTTTATGTTTAAGTCTTTAATCCATTTCAAGTTAATTTTTGTAAGTGGTATAAGACAGGGGTCCAGTTTTATTCTCTGCATGTGATGATCCAGTTTTCCCAACACCATTTATTAAAGAGACAGTCCTTTCCCTGCTGAGTATTCTTGGCTCCCTTGTCCAATATTAGTTGACCATACATGGGAGGGTTTATTTCTGGGCTCTTGATTCTGTTCCATTGGTCTTTGTGTCTGTTTTTATGCCAGTACCATACTGTTTTTTTTCTTTTTATTGAGGTCATAATAGTTTATAACATTGTGAAATTTCAGTTGTACGTTATTGTCAGTCACCATATATATGTGCCCCTTTACCCCTTTCACCCAGTCCCCCAACCCCCTTCCCCTCTGGTAACGACTAATCTGTTCTCTTTATCCATGTTTGTTTATCTTCCACATGTGAGTGAAATCATGTGGTGTTTGTCTTTCTCTGGCTTATTTTGCTAAACATAATACCCTCAAAGTCCATCCGTGTTGTTGCAAATGGGACGATTTTGTCTTTTTTTTATGGCTGAGTAGTATTCCATGGTATATATGTACCACATCTTCTTTATCCAGTCATCAGTTGATGGGCACTTGGGTTGCTTCTACATCTCGGCTACTGTGAATAATGCTGCAATGAACATAGGGAAGCATAAGTCTCTCTAAATTGTTGATTTCAAGTTCTTTGGATAAAGACTCAGTAGTGGGATAGCTGGGTCATATGGTATTTCTGTTTTTAATTTTTTGAGAAATATCCGTAGTGTTTTCCATAGTGGCTGCACCAGTTTGCACTCCCACCAGCAGTATATGAGGGTTCCCTTTTTTTCCAGGTCCTCTCCAACATTTGTTATTTTTTGTCTTGGTAATTATAGCCATTCTAACGGGTGTAAGGTGATATCTCATTGTAGTTAGTACCTTTTTATATTTAAAGCATGTCTCTGGTAGACAGCATATAGTTAGGTCTTGCTTTTCTATCTAGTATGACAATTTCTGTCTTTTAACTGAAATGTTTAGTCTATTAAACTGAAGGTAATTACTGATATGTTTGATTTAGGTCTATAATGTCACTATTTATTTTTGTTTGCTCCATCTGTTTTTTGTTCTTCTTACCTACTTTTGAGTCAATTGAATATTTTTTAGACTTCCATTTTAATTTCTGCATGTACTAATTTTTAAATCAGAAAAATAATTTCAAGAAAGTTTCATTAATTCAACCAGGAGTGATGCTCATTTTTCTTTGTTCTGGCAGGATAATGAGAGCCCTTGCAAATGCTGGAGTACCTGTTCCCAAAGTTCTTGACCTCTGTGAAGATTCAAGGTAATGTCCAGATTTATTTTTTTTATTGTATATTCAAGCTACAGAAGAGAAAAGCCCATATACCAACTCAAATTATAATTTGCTAGAGTAAAGACAAATAAAATTTGGGTAGGAGAGAAAAGAGACTTTATAGCAAGCTCCCCTAGAATTTCACAGATCTTTAAGTTATCTTGAAAGATAGAGCAATACCTGCTTTTATGAGAATTGGTAGAAAGCATCTTTTTTTTTTTTTTTTTTTTTTTTTTTCAA